AACAGACATTTCTCAGACAAAGAAGTAAAAGCAGCAAATAAACATATGAAAAAATGTTCAACATCACTGGTCATTTGAGAGATGCAAATGACAACAATCCTAAGATTCTACCTCACCCCAGAAAGAATGGCTGCTATCAAGAAATCAACCAATAACAAATGCTGGCAGGGGTGTGGGGAGAAAGGAACTCTTCTTCATTCTCGGTTGGAGTGCAGACTGGTGCAACCACTGTGAAAATCCGTGTGGAGATTCCTCAGAAAACTAGGATTAGAGGTCCCACTTGACCCAGCTATTCCCCTTCTGGGTATGTTAAGAATTAAAAGCACCATACCACAGTGATAGATGTGCACCTATGTTTATAGCAGCACAGTTTGTAATACTTAAATCTTGGAAACAGCCCACTTCAACTGAAGACTGGATAAAAAAGATATGTGTGTTTTTTTAATAAAATGGAGTATTTCTCAGCCATAAAGAATGATAAACTAGAGACATTTATAGCTAAATGGATGCACCTTGAGACCATTCTCTTAAGTGAAATAAATAGGACACACATGCGTAAATACTAAAGTATTTCTCTGGCATGAGAAACAAAGTGTAAAGGAGGACCTAAATGTGTAATAGATATTGTGAAATAGGAAGAAAATATTCAAAGGGGAAGAAGAGCTGAGTGGGAGAAAAGAAAGAAAAAAATTAGAAAAGGAGGAAAAAATGGAAATAAAGCTTTTGTAAATAGGGCTGGGTGGAGGAGTGGAAGGGAAGGAAGGGGAATGGAAAAAACAAGAACCAAGATATATCATGTACATCATTGGGAGTTTTATCATAATATATACCTAAAATGTAACAATAAACTTAATGTCTACATAAAAACTAAAATATTCTTAGGACATATTGAGGAAGACAAAAACCTTGAAGGATATTTCTTGTTTGTTGAAGATGCAACATTAAATTTGTGAACAACATCATAGCAGTCAGTATTTTTCATTTCAATCTGTATTGTCACTAATTATGAATACCTGTTCTGAAATCAAAGCTGCACAAAGCCATCACAATAAAAATAAACTACATACCAGTATCTCATGTGAGTATAGAGATTCTCAACAAAATATTAATAAACCACTTTTATAGAATTACAAAAAGAATATAGGTACACATCAAAATTATGTGTAATTTATTCCAAAAATTCAAGTGGAAAATCTGAAACCCATTCATGATCAAAACTCACAACCTCTCCTACTGCAGTGATTAAATTTAGCAGCCTATTGCAATTCATGGGGAACGTATTTTAATAATAATATGATTTATATTTTAAAATTGCTAAAATAATCAGCTATAACACTCTTGTCATGAAAATTAAGTTGATAAAGTGTTGGACACATTAACTTAGTAGACTGAAATTTTCTAAAGTCAAAAATATTGCTGTACCTGGAAAAATACAAAATTATTATTTTTCAATTAAGAATAAATAAGTAAAATTTATATCAGATTGGAAATAGATGGAAATATATTCTCACTCAGTCAAAAAAGAACTGAAAGCCATTCATACTTTAAGGATGCATAGAATATTTCTTTATACATGTACATGATCCAGTGTGGGGAATGTTAAGGAATCTTCACACCCAAATCCTAGAACAAATTTATGAATTCAGCTAAGTTGCAGAAACAGAATTTCAATGCAAAATTAAATGTGTTTCATATCATAGCATAAAGAATTGGAAAAGGAAGGGAGGAAATGATAGCATAGGAAACAATAAAATAAAGTAAGAAAAATAGTTAAGGATAAATTTAGCGAAAGAAGTCAAAACTTAACAAAAACAAAAAGTATTACTGAGAGGAATGAAGCTCTCAGAAGACAAGCAGTTCTCTTTCAGGGATTTTAAGGGTAAATATTGTTAAAATGACAATTCTCAGCTTGATTTATAGTTGTAACACAGTGCTTATCCTAGTGTCCATAGAGATTTAGCACAATCGGCCACACTCTGTCAAGGTTACTCTGAAAACCAAATGACTCAGAAGATGAAAACAATTTGAAAATTAAGAGCTACTTGAAGAAGCTTTCACTTTCTATTTTCAAAAGGCAAAACAAGGTGGAAATTAAAAAATATAGTGCCAATGAAAGGTTACACATATAGAGCAATAACACAGAATTCAGAGCATGGAAATAAACCTGCATATTTATGGTAAATTGATTTCCTGCAATTGTGCCAACTAAATTCAGTGGTAGAAAAGTAGCCTTTTCAAAAATGGATGCTGAAGCCATTGTATATCTACATGGAAAGAGTAAATTCTTACTTTAACTTACATCACAAATTACTCAAATTGGGCCACAGACCTAAATTTTAAAACTAACACAACAGAGCATTCAGCAGAAATCAGAAAAGAAAATATTGATGATTTTATGTTAGACAAAGTTCTTAAAAATGGCATCACATAGGTAAAGGTGATAGATTGGATTTGTCAAATAAAAAACAATTCCAGACTCAATAAGGACAGATTTTATCCAAAAGGATTACTGAATAGGGGGAGGAAGGCCAGTGTGATGGGGATCACTCTGTATCTCAAGGATTAGGTAAACCTTTTTTTCTTTTACAGGGAGGAGTAAGCAATGCTGAAGGAGAGTGTGAGGAAACAGAATGAATGGGAGTGGCAGGATCCTGGATACGGGACTGTTAGACTGAGCATGAATCCACTCATTAAAATAGGCTTTTTTGTTGCGAAAAAGAAAAGTTTGGGTAGGGGATTTAGCTCAGTGTTTCTGCTGCCTGCTCACAAGCACAAGGTCCCAAGTTCGAACCCTGATACCAAAAAAAAAAGTTTATTCCAGTGAACAGGGACTAAAATCAGGAACAGATTCTAGCAGCTAGCAGAGAAAGAAAACTATACTTAGGTAGATTGAGGGGAAGGGTCTATCATCATAAGGAATATTTATGACTTGGATGCCCAAGGATGGTCTGCTCAGGTGGGTAAACAATCACTGGATTTCTTGGTGCCAGAGGGATGTATACTTCATTTTTAGTCCATTTGTTCTGTTTACTGAGAAGCTACTGTTGTTTGCTGAAAGCAGCCTATTTGCTTTGTCCTGTTGGTTTAGGCTAGGCCTGACGTGGACCAGACATTCTTTTAGATGAGGTCAGGCTTTGTTCAGGAGGGGCTGCTGGGAAGGACTGTGTCCTGGCTCCAAGTATGAAGAATCAGGAAGTGAGAAAAGAAGAGAAGCTTATTCAAAGTTTATTCTTATTCAAAGCTTATTCTTCAAGTGCAGAATCAGGAAGTGAGAAAAGAAGAGAAACTTATTCAAAGTTTAATTAAGAATTGTTTTGCTGTCTTGGAGATTGAATGCAGGTCCTTGCCTTGAGCTACATGTCCAGCCCTTTTTATTCATACTTGTTTTTCAAATTTTGAGACAGGACCTCCAAAAGGCACTAAATTTTCCAGGCTAGGCTCAAATTCCCATCCTCCTGCCTTAGCATCTGATGATTAAAACATTGATTTTTAAAATTTAAAATAAAACTACTTTGTTGTAAATAAAACAACTTTGATTATTGGAGACATGCTATTCTGCTAGTATTTATGAGGTAAAGAATGAACATTTGGTGGCTCTGTCTAGCCTTATTTTAAGTAAAGGAGGGCTGTAGGTACCTGTAAGTCTATTTGAATTAAGCCATTTTCTAGAAAAGAAAAGGTAAGGAATTTTATAACTATTGAAATCACAGAGCCTTGTGAACACAACATTGTCAGATTTAGGAAATGTATCTACTTTACACTTGAAAATGCAAAACACAAACTAGGAAAAATTATTTGCAAATCATTTACTGACAAATGACTTCAGGCTAACATGAAAAGAACTCTGACTACTTAAAAGAAGATGAAGAACTCTTACCACTCAAAAGATGAGAAGTGGACCAATTAAAACAGGTGACACCTGGTGACTTGATGACAGGTGACAGATGACTCATGGTGATTTGTCTCCCTCAGCCTTTGGGATATGAACCTGATAATGAGATAAAAGAGGGAAATAAAAAGTAGAAACTTAGAAAGTTAAATGAAATGTACCAGGGAGAATAAAATATTGTGTCTGAAACAATAAAAAAAACCAAAAAAAAAAACCTGCGTTCATCTCTGGGATGAAAATAAACGCCCACACTCTGCAAGTCGGCTACTCCACTCCTCCCAGGTCCATGGGGTCCACGGAGACCTTCTGAGCGCCTGGGAAAGGCAGGGCAAGCACCCACCCACGCTGACACGGACTTGGGGTCTACATCCCAGGACTCGGGATGCTGTTATCACATAAAATCAACTAGACTGAAATGTGGATCGTTTTTAGATGCAGATCCCCAGACATCCTTCCTGAAAGCATCTGTTTTCTATTTTCTTCTCACTTTCCCAGGCATTTCAATAAAACTCTTGTGCTTTATTTATTTATTTATTTATTTTGTGGTATGGGGGATCAAACTCAGGGCCTTGTGCTTGTGAGGCCGGCACAGCGCCACTGAGCTAACTCCTTGGCCCTTTCACTTTGTTTTTAAGCTAGGTTCTCACTATGTAGCCCAGGTAGGCCTTGAATTCAGGATGATCTTCCTGCGTCAGCTTCCTAAGTGCCTGTACCACTATACCAGGCTTGTGCTTATTTTAAAAGTCAACAAAACTGTACAAAGCCATCTAAAAATGGCTATAATGTTCTCTCCCCTGCTCTGCCCACCTGGGGACAGTGCCCCTGCGAGGTCACACATGGGTTCTCTCCTCAGGTTTGATCTGAAGACTAGGGTGCTCTTTCTGCCTTTGGCTGGGATAGAGAGGAGCTCTGGGATCCCAAGGGTCCTAGGTTAGGGTAGGGAAATGGGCTAGTGACTTTGGGGAGGAGACAGCACCTGTGGCAAGAAAGTGCCCACTCCAAAGAAAAAGACAAGATGTGCATTCCTTAGGGGTTTTTTTTGGTACCAGGGATTGAACTCCGGTCCTTGTCATTGCACAGCAGGCGTCGAAACCCATGAGCTAAATCCCCAGCCCTGCATTCCTTAGGTCTGGGACCCTTTCCTCTGCCTCCAGCTGCTCTCCAGACCCCAGAAATGAAACTGAACCCTGACCAGGCTGAGAGAGGCAGGGCAGCCTCTCTCAGATAAGGCGGACCACTGGCAAGGTTGATTTTATTCACTTCCTCATTAACGAACTCTGCTTCTGCATTCAGTTAGTAAAAAGCACCTAGAAATTCTGTAATCTCTCTCCTGGAAAGGAGCTACTGTCTCATCCTGGCATTACTGAAACCCTTGCTGAAAAAAGGGGGCGGGGCGGGAGAGGAAGCTGTGTGAAATCATACTAACAAATAATCAGGAGGATATTTATTGTCAAGAAGACTCTGGAAATCCTTAGCATGCCTCCATTCTTTTATTACAAACCTTGCTGTTCTCCTTTTTCCTCTCTTCCCTACTATCACTTAATTCCAAACCCTTATGAATATTCCATTCACCCTTCTCGCAGTTCCCCCGGAACTGTTTTCCAGTAGCTCTGTCATTGCAGATTCCTGCTTCAGAGTGACAGAGACACTTTTCTTAGGAACACTGGGGTGGCCCTGTGTGTCTGTACAACCTCTCCTGGAGGAAGATGGGTAAGAGCGGCCTGAGTTTCTCTGACAGGGCCCCAGGGGGCAGAGGTGGTGAAGTATTAGGGATGTTGGATGCATTAACCCTGCAGGACATTTGAGGCAAACATACATTCCCTTAACACCAACACATTAGATATCCTCTTCTGGTATTGAAATCTGACCTTTCATTTGAGCCTGTAGTAGGTAAGATTATCCCTTGAGGTTAAATTATTTTGGTGTTTTGATAAATTAATGAGGTTACAGACATAGACACATATATGGCATCAAATCTGAAAAGAATAGCAGTCTATAGCTTGCAAACACATACACAGCCCCAAATCTACTGATGGTGAGGTCTAAGGCAAGTTTTTCATCACAGATCTTCCCATCACCAGATAATCATTTTTAACATCGTCTATACCTTTCTGTTAAGGAAGAGTCAAATAAAATAATAATTTTAAAAATTGCAGTTTGCATAAGACCATTTCACAGAGGATTCAGAAGGGCACATCACTTAGACTGTACTGTCCCATTATATAAAATGCAAAATGTTTAGCTATAGATGCTGTCTCTCTACCAGAAACTGCCACTTTCATATTACTCAAAGATGAGGTTTCAGGGTTATTTGGAGTGTCAATTTTTGGATAGTCTCAATATGTAGTCTAGGTCAGCCCTCTGATTTTTGCTTTGATATCTTCTTTGTCCAGTGAATCATGTAAAAGTATGTTTATTCACTTTTTAGCATACACAGATGTTTCCAGTTAACTTTTTCAAAAAGTTACTTCTGTCAGAATTTCTCTTGTCCCATTACCTATACTAAAAGTTGAACAACAAAAACAAAAACTTTCCGTGTAATTATGGTTTATCTTTCTGTCATTTATATTCCATGAATTTTTGTTTTACATATTTGCAGGTTATGTTACATCATGTTGTTAATTTTTATTTTATTAGTAGATGTTTACAGTACAATAATGATTGCATTCGCCATAGGGAGTTCGTACATGTACATAACCCATCTTAATTCTGTTTTGGTTTCCCTTCTGTCCTCTCATTCTGTTGGTTGTTTCCTTTCTTGTGAAGATTTTAAATTCAATATAGTCCCACTTCTTGATGCTATTTCTCGTGGAATTGAGGTTCTGTTTAGAAAGTCCATGCCTGTGCCTTTGCTTTCAAGAGTTTTACCTATGATAGCTTCCAGCAGATTGTTTCTGATTTTTTTATTTAGATCTTTGATCCATTTGGATTTTATTTTAGTATGTAATGAGAGGTATAGGTCAAGATTAAATCTTCTGAGGGTGGATAGCCAGTTTTCCCCGCACCATTTGCTAAAGAGGTGATCTTTCCTACTCCACATGTGCTTGGCTGTTTGTCAAGGGTTAGATACCTGAATGTGACACCGTTATTTCTGCATCTTTTATTTTGTTCCATTGGTCCACATGTCCATTTTTGTGCCAGTATAGTTCTATTTTTTTAATCGCTGTAGCTTTGTAATATGTATTTGGGATTTTGATGCTTCTCATTGCCTAGGATTGCATTTCTTTGGGGGCTTTTCTGGTTTTATACTCTTAAGATTGTTTTCTCTAGTTCTGTGAGGAACACTGTTGAAATTTTTCTTAAAATTGCATTAAATCTATGCATCAATTTTGGAAGTGTGGCCATTTTGACAAACTGGGTAGGTTTTGCCTATCCAGGAACAGGGGATATCTTTTCATTTCTGATATGCTTCGATCTGCTTATTCAAAGTACTGTAGTATAGTTTTCATTATAGAGGTGCTTCACTTTCTTTGTTAGATTAACTACTAAGTATTTAATTTTTCTTGAAGCTACTGTGAGTGGTATAGGTTTCCTTATTTCTTTCTAGGTAGGTTCATTATTGATGTACAGGAACATGAGTGACTTTGCATCCTGCTACCTTGCTGAATTTATGTTATTAATTCCAGGAAGCTTTTGGTAGAATATTTTGGGTCTTCTATGCAAATGATAATGTCATCTTCAAATAAGGCTAATTTGCCTTCTTCTTTTCTAGTATGCATCCTTTTATTTCTTTCTCTCACTTGATTGCAATGGCTAAATTTTCAAGTACTATGCTGAACAGGAGGGGTGATATTGGACATCCTTATTTCTAAGCTGATTGTTTTTCCTCATTGATCTATCTATTTGTGATAGTAGAGTATTGTAGTCCTCACTATAATTATGTGAGTTTATCTAATCTTTTATTCCAGTAGAATTTTTTATGGTTGGGTGGGGCTGTGTTTGATGTATGCATATTTATAATTGTTATCTCTTCATATTCAGTTTTTCTCTTAATCGATATGTAGTGAGCTTCTTTGGTTCTTCTGACCAATTTTGGCTTTATATTCACTTCATCCTAAAATAGCTACTTCCAGCTACTCCTGCTGGAGTTTGGGATCACATTGCATAGAATATCATTTTTATCCTATGATTTCTAGTCTATTAATTTCTTTTTGGGTTTAATGTTTCTGGTATACAGCATATGGTTGGATTTAGTTTTTCTATCTAGTGTGATAATCTGTGTCTATTGATTGGGGAATTGAGATTATTGAGTATTATTACTAAAGACCATTGATTTATTTTTGTCAATGCATCATTTTCCTGTTCCTGATTCCTTTTTTCTTCCCCTGCTTAACAGGTCACCCCACTTGGTGTATTTATTCCATTAGACTTTTTGCATTGTTGGCTTCAATGACTGTTGTCTTTCTCTAGGATATCCTTTAAAATTTTTTGGAGTGCTGGTTTGGTGGTCATGAATTTCTGAGAATCTAAGGTGCTCTTCGTCTTGGAATGACCTCCTTTCTCCATCAATTTTGAAAGATGTTTTGGCAGGATATACTAGTCTGGGCAGTACTGGAGGGGTGCTTGAAACTCTTCACTTCAAGCTCTCCTGGCCTTTAAGGTTTGTGTTGAGGAGTTTGCTGTAATGGTAATGGATTTACCTTTGTAAATGATTTGTTGCTTTTTTGCTAACAGCTTTTGAGTATCTGTCCTTGTTTTGGTCTTCTGGGATTTTAACTATGATGTGTTATAGTGAATTTCTTTTCTGTTTTTGGTTATTTGGGGTTCTACATCACTTATCTGCATGTTAAATTATTTCCCCATACTTGAAAAGTTTTCTGCTATTTTTTTTGTAAATAAGTTTTTATGCTTGTCATACTGTGATCTGATTTTTCACTAATTTCAATTAATCTTAGGTTCATCTCCTTTGCATCATCTTGCAAACTGTTGGATTGATTTTCCATGTTGTATAGTTGTTCTTAAAGTATTTCTGAGTATATTGTCACTTGCACTATCTCTGTCTTCTATTGCTGACATCTTGTCCTCATGCTGATCACTTTTGCTGCCTATACTTTCAATAGAATTTTTATCTCCTGGATTTCTGTTTGGTACCATTACAT